TTGCTTATTATTAGTGAATAGATTTTTGAAAGCCTGCAGGGGAAAAAAAGGAAAGAACTTCATATTGGGTGGTAGGGAGAGATCATGTGGAAACATGTCTGAACTTTATAACCTACCTATCTTCCTTCCTTTCTTTCTTTCTTTCTTTCTTTCTTTCTTTCTTTCTTTCTTTCTTTCTTTCTTCCTCCCTCCCTCCCTCCCTCCCTCCCTCCCTCCCTCCCTCCCTCTGTGCCTCTCCCTCCCTCCCTCCCTCTTTCTCTGGTTTTTCACAACTACCCTTTGTGCTAAATATAGTTACCTTGTCATTGTCACCTTGTCCAAGATCACATAAGCATAGTTGGGACTTAAATTCAAAAAGCCTAAAGCCAAAGCTAGTGCTTGTGACCCCAAGCCTTCCTGCTTCTGAGTGACGGGGAATCCAGTGCTGAGCACACATGAAGCAATGGCTTGTCTGAGAAGTGAGCCAGGAGAGGAGGGGCACAGCATCTGGAGCCCAGCTGCAGCACGTGAAGGCCGGATCACTGCAGTAGTCACGTAGAGGGTGTTAGGGTGAGCACCCGGGCTAGAGCCTCCAGAGCAGTAGGAACAGAGAAATTGGTACATGTCTTTGTTAAGGAAAAGGAATCCCAGCATCTTCCTGAGGTGAATAGGCCTTTAATATGCATAGATGTCTTATGAGAAAGTTCGTGAGACAGTGGACCTGAAAAGCAGATGTCAAGTAAAATCTAAATCATTTTTATTTTTTTATTTTTTTGGCAGAACCGGGAATTGAACTCAGGCCCTTGTGTTTGCCAGGGAAGCACTTATTCCACTGAGCCATCTCCCTGGCCCCTCTAAATCATTTTAAATCTAAGTATTTCTTTCATTTCCAGGTTTCATAAGAAATATTAAGCAAGGTAATGCAGCTCAGTAATAGAGTATTTGCCTAGTGTGCCGAGGCCCTGGATTTGACCCCCAGTGGTGCACAGAGACACAGAGCCTGGGCATTTGCCACCTAGTGATGTCATTGCAAAGCTTCTTTTGAATATTAAGGCAAGAGCATTCATGTTACTATACAAACATGGACTCCAGGAGCCTTTTCCTCACCTGTCACTACAGAATTCATGAAGGAAATTTGAAAGACTGACTTGAGGATCTCTCCTCTCCTCTCCTCTCCTCTCCTCTCCTTCCTCTCCTCTCCTCTCCTCTCCTCTCCTCTCCTCTCCTCCATTCTTCTTCATGGGGCAGGGGGAGTTCCTTGAAGTGTAGATCTTATCTTAGCTTGGAATTAACATTTTTAATATCATTTAACGTTTTTAGTATCTTGTACAATATCTATTACTTAGTGAGTTCTGGACTCTTGGAGGCTGGCATGCAGAAAGATTGGGAGGAAGGGAGAAGGAAGAAGGTGGACATTAAAAGAAGGGCTGCAGCAGTTTCCTTCCTGAAGCAGGAAAACTGATAGATGTGAGCAGAGAGCTGAGCTGAGGCCCGCCAGAGCCCTCACCATGGGGGACCTGCGCTTCAGAAGGCGGAAGGAAGATGGTTGTCAGACCTCGGATCAATCCAACAATCTGACTCATTTTTGTCGTAGGAATGTTGGTTTTTGTCTAGAAAAATCTGATATAAAGACAGTTGAAAGGAGAGTAAAAACATGGTCTGTTATTGGGACTGGAGAGACAGCTCAGTGGCCTACGTGCCCGAAGTGCCTGCCTGGCAAGTGCAGGGACCCAGGTTTGGTCCCCCGTACCACATGCCATGCCAGCTCTGGAACCAGGCGTACTTTGCTGCCCACTGAAACTGCGTGCAGAGCTCTGCACACACCTGTAATCCCAGCACTGGGGAAGCCGAGACAGGAGGATCACTATGAGTCCGGGCTGTCTATGAGTCCGGGCTGTCTAGCAAGACCCTGTACCAAATCAATAAATAAAAGATATTTAAAAATTGAAAAAAGTATATATACATTTTAAAGATTATATATTGTTCCATATAATATGAATCCAATATATAATATATCGAGATATATATTAGTAATGCATGTAATAGTAATCAAGTACATTATATGTTTTATTATAATATATCCAATATAAAATATATGTTGTTCCCTCACTTTATTCCATTCATAAGGGTATCATCATGATTGACTTGCTCCTTAGCAAAAGCTCTGAGCATCCCAACAACATCTCAACAAAAATGCTTATGCTAATGATAGGAAGGGCTTCTGATCTTGCTGATTAATATGGAGCTTGGCTAAGTTGGTTATATGATTCTTCCAGAAACTGGGTTTAGATCTACTAAGATAGAATAATAAATTTCAAAGAAATTTTTTTCTTTTGCAGTCTTAGCCCAGTTAAAGTCTTATTATATACTGTTATTAGAAAATGGTTTCTTTCTATTTGTATTAAGAAATAGTGTCAGTGTATAATTTATTTTAATTATTTTTCAAAAGTAGTCACCATGTTGCTTTTTCTGGGCTAAAAAGTGAGACCATGGCATACTAGAGCCATGAATAATTCAGTAATCTATTCAATAAATGCCTATTAAACACCTAATATGTCAAAGGCCATATGCACATATGCTGGAGATACTATGGAGGACACGAGGCACAACATAGCACTGTGTCTGTTTATCTTCTACATGAAATAGAGAAAACCTGAGATTCAGTCCATCATAGGGCCCCCAAGTTTCAACTTTAGGCTTAGTTGCTGGGGTCAGGGCAATGGAGCTTAGGCAACTAAGTAAATAACAGACCATTCATTCATGAAGGGAGGTGAGGAAGGATAGGCATTTTGTAGTCTATACTGAAGCAAAGCAAAGCCTCCTTTGCAGCACACTTGATAGATTTTGCTTGGAAATAAACGTAGGGTACTTCCAGCATGGTGGTGGAGTTGCTTGCTTTGAAGCAAAGCAGCTGATATATTCCATGTATACAGCATTGTATGAAAAAGAAAGTTGGATCAGGCTGACAAAGATAAGCAGAGCAGGAACAATAGGGAGAAACCATCTAAAGACAGTTTGCTTAGTCATATTGATTAAATTAATCAACACCCTGTGGAAAGAGATCAGCCATATAGTTGTCAGAACTGTACACAATTCTGGCTTACTGTATGTATACTCAAGTAAACCTGTGGGGTATCTATATCTAAGGACTGATCAAAACATATGATATATTTAAATTTAAAAGTTTATTATAAGACACATTAATAGTAATTAATTACTATTAATTCCTCTTAAAATATTCTCCTCTCTTCAAACACGCCCATTGTTTTCACTGTTTCCTGAAGCAGCTCTAGGAGTTCTTTTTCATGAGTGTTTTGACAAGGTGTTCTACAAAAAAAATATGGTGAATGTTGCTGTTGAATGCTGTTCAACACAGAGGCAGGCTCATAAAAACATTACCATGTGTCCTCATTCATCTTTTCATGGGACCTGTGACCAGGTAACTACTAGCTCTGCCCCAAAGTCAAAATGATGTGAAAGGTAAACCCTTGACTCCACTCAGGACATTGACACAGCTATCGTAGCACAACTAACGGCACAAAAGGGACCTCCAGAACTACTTCCAAAAGCAGCAAGAATGATGAAGTAAGTGAGATTAAAACAAGGGGGAATATTTTGAAGGGGATTAATTGTAATGTTTTTACTATAATAAATCTTTTAAAATGTAAACATTCACTGTATTTTTACTACAACATGCATATTCTCACTTCATTGTACAAATTGAATAATTTTGAATCTCTTTTTTGTCATTAAGTCATGTATTAAAGGTCCATCAGCACAAAAGTCCTGAGGCAGGAGCTATGATATATCAAGTCTTCTGCTGTGTCTAGTAAGAAGCACTGTTCCTATGTGGACCTTTGTCATATTGTGTGGCTGCCCAGGGTTTTTGAAGACCTTCTCTCTATTTAAGATATGACTGACTTTACAAGTCCCACCTTCCCAAAGTAGAAACCAGAAAGCAGAATTTCTAGCCTCCATTGTGGCTAAGGTGGAGGCCTGTCATCCCAGCTGCATCAACCCCTTCCCCACCTAGAGATTTCCATTCAGAAACGTACAAGACAGTGGAACAGTCTTTTCTCAATCTAACTTTTCTAGGCAGGGTGACAACTGAAGCATCGGGCTTCCTCCTCCAGGAAGTTTTCCTGAACTTTGCCTATCCTTCTCCAAGTTATGTACATTAGGTATTCCCTCTAACTCTATGCTCTCATTATGCTTTACCATTGTATTACAATTACTAGTGCCTTTTATTAGGTTATGATCTGCTATTGTAGTTAAGGTAATATTGCTATAACTAGCAAACCAAAAACATGAATTGAATCAAACACAATAGAAGTTTCTTTCTTAATCACATAAAACCAAAGTACTCTGGATGACTGACAGCTTTCCTAAGGACATGATTCAGGGGTCCAGCTGTCTTTATATCTCATGGTTTCACCATCTATAATGGCTTCCAAGGATGCCACCCTCATCTGAGCTAGGCCAGAAGGCCTGGAAGTGATGCTTGTCACTTGGGCATACATTGCATGGCCCAGAACTCATTGCCTGGCTGTGCCTCCCTGTAAAATACAGTCTAGCTCCTTCCAGCTGTGAGCACACTGACATTAGTCATGGCAAAGTGTCATGTCTTAACATTTGTCTTTCACTTGCTTCCTTTTTCCACATTTGGAAAACAAAATTATCAATGCTAAGGGTAACACAGCCTGTGTAAATCTCAGACAGATAGAGCTTTGGTCTACATTCCTTTGACTCTCCAGTGTTCTTTTTGCTAAACATTTCAGTTTCAGGGACACATATTCACTGGATGGTTATTTCTGCATGCGTTGCCTAAAACTGCTTCTATCTCCAGGCTCCACATGTGTCAGTTTAAAAGGGAAAGTGCTTAGCATGCAGCCTGCGTGCCACATGTGTTTTAGGCTGCTGGCACATGGAAGAGTTGGGAAGTTCCAAATCATTGCCTATTGGCTACCCGCAGGCTAACGATGGAAATATCTCTTTATTTTCCCTGCTTCTTCTGGACCTAGGTGCCTTATCAGCAGCCAAGGAGAGCTGGGAGTATGACTCTGGTGCCAGGGACCTCCAGAGCCCAGACTTGCAAACTCAGTCCACCTTACAGAAGCTGCTGGAGTATGGCGGAAGCTCTGTGCATCAGCGAGCTGCTCTCCACAAACTGCTCACACAGTCCCCACAGTATGGCACCTCTGTAGGAGGAAACTACCTAGAGCTGGCCAACATGGTGAGTATGTTTTGGTTCACAGAACATATCTTCAGGTCAATCTGTATTCCAATACAAACAGTTTGATTTTGAGCTCCATGACATTTTGGATATTGTCTTCTTTAATGACTTAAATCTTATGGCATTTTCAGCATTGTCATAATGTTTAGTGCTCCAAAGCTGGTAGTCAGTAAGGGACTTCACTGTCATTATTAAGGCCAGAGTAGGAAGGAATGGTGGTGTATGTGAGTGTCCCACCAATGGGAGACAGAGGCTAGAGGACCACTATGAGTTGGAGGCCAGCCTCAGTTACATAGTAAATTCAATGCTTACCTGTACTACATAGCAAGACCCTACGGGGGGGGGGATGGAATCGAAGACCAGTGAACTCTGGAAAGGTGTCTTGATTAAGTTCATAACATGTCCAGGTTTAATTACTAGCATATCTAAATAGCTTTCCTATGACTGGAATATTTATATCAGACCAGACATAAATTAGTAGGACCCACTTCTTTCTGTTTCCTAATTGGGCCTGTACTCATTTTAAAAAGAAAGAGGAAAATATTGTACTGAAGTTTATTGTTTTTGCTTATACTTTTAATTTATTTTCTGTTGATAATTATGGGACAATTTAGGACTTTCATATGCTTAATTTAACTTTCCTATGCTTTTCTTTTCTTTCTTTCTTTTTTTCCCTGGTGCTGGGACTTTAGCTCAGAGGCTCAGTGCTACTAAGCAGGCGCTCTCCCTGGAGCTGCATTCCCAGCCCTTAGCTTTTGTCTCCAGAGGAGCCATTATTGTGCTAACCTGTGGGTGAACAGCTAGAGTCTGCTTTGTGAGAGCAGGAAGGAAGGCAAGTGGCTGATGATCTAGGACACAGCTGACACCTTGTGATTGCGAGCCCAACACTTTGGGAAGGTCAGAAGCCTACTTGGCCTTTTGCAGTTGAAGTTCAAATGGAGGAATAAGTATCCTCAGCACTCTGACTTGTACATATCTTCACAGTCTGCACTGATGTAGACCTGAGGTTTACAAACAAATGTATGACATATTTTGGAATTAAGACACTTTTGGGTGAGATGTTTAAAGGAACTAACAATCAGGAATATATTATCAATAATTAAAACATAATAATTAGGCAAATCCTAATTAAAATATGTCCTGTAAAATGCCTAAACAATACTCTGCAAAAGTATTGATATTAGTAAAAATCAGTGAAGTCTGAGGAGAGAAATTATCTGCTCAAAGCAGCTTTAGAAGATCTGACCTAATATAGCGTGGTGCTCTTGATGGGATTCTGGGACAGAGAAAGGGCACACTAGGTGAAAACATAAGAACCTGAGTAAACTATAGACCTTAGCTGACAGTGTAACAATATTGGTTTATTAATTGTGCTAAATATTGCATACTGAGTATAAGATATTTATTATAGAAAAACTTCATGTGATATATGAGAGCACTCTGTCCTGTCTGCAACTTTCTGGTAAATCTAAAACTATTAAAAATAAAAATTTGTAGGAGTGGAGATTTGAACTGAGAACTGTCAGTTGGGACTACAGAGCGGCAAAAGCAATCTGTGACACGACCTACTTTGAATTTGTGAGGGTATTAGGTTTCTTTGAGCAGTTCTTCAATAAGACTTTAAAAATGGTATCCAAACAGGAAATAATGAGCAACCAGAGATTTTGGCGGGTTTCAAAGTGTGATGGACTAAACCCAGACTCTTAGCATAAGTGTTGCCATAATAAACTTCAGCTGACCCCAGAGTTGTAAAAGCAAACCTCCATGCAAAACAAGTAACCATGTAGAGGAAATATACCCTGAGAAAGTGCTGACCCTCAACAATAACAGGAAGAAAAGTAGCCAGATGTATAGCAAGAAAAAAAAAAAATCTAACCAAGCAGGATGCGTACTATACATATTTATTCTGTTTGACAAGCAGAATGTATTACATATTTTTTATATTTTCTTTGTGGGTTTTTTCCCCTTTTTTTCTCCTCTTTAAAATCTCTTCATGTTCTCTGGTCGAGGCCACTCACTTGGACTCTGAAACAGTGGTCTATGCTGATGGTCGCTGAGCTCAACTAATAAAAGGCCTTCAAATTTTAATTGGCTACTTGGATTCCTGTATTGATTATGAACCCACAACAAAAGGACCCCAGGTTCTGGGAAATGCCAGAAAAGGATCAAAAAGTCAAAATTGACAAGTGATTTCAAGCCATGTTTAATGACAAAAAGTTCAAATTGAACTATGCTATTGATAAAAGAGGATGGCCTATCAACCACAGCACTTCTGAGGACTTGAAACATTTCTATGACCTTTCGGCCTCTGATTCTGAACTCTCTGATGAAGATAGCAAAGCACTGAATCAACAGAAAATAAAGAAGAAAAACTATCAGACAAAAAAAAAAGCGATTCAAAAAATGTGATTGAGAGGGGGAAAAAGGAAACAAAGAAATTAATCAAAAGGATTCTGGAAATATAAATGACTTACATAATTTAGAAGAATTGAGGAAACAGAAAAATTTGTGCAAATTTGAGAAGATAGATTAATAAATAAGTCCTAAGAAGGACAGTAAAGAACTTACACAAAAAACTACAAAAGAGAAAAAAGCATTATTGAATATAGGAGAGACTCTATTCCCACAGGAAAACTAAAGACAGACCCAAGCACCTCTAAAATTGTGAAATCTCCCAAGATCAATTGCTCTAAGACAAAGGAGAAAAGCAATCAGCAGTTCCATTCACAATAGCAAGAGATGTTGATGGTAACATGCCTGACAAAGATGTTCTGGAGGAAGATTCAGACAATGCTGATGAAATAGGAAGTGATGAGGAATTTGAAGATGAAATCATAGGTGGGGTAGAGCTTCAGCTGATGATGGAAGTGAAGATGGAGAAGATAGTGAGGATGATGATGACAGTGACAGTGGCCCCCATCTTGCAAGGGGTAAAGGAAATACAGAAACTAATTCTGAAGATGAAGATGACTTGGAAGATATTTTTCTACAAGAATCTAATTTTTAACATGTTTGGAGAGAATTAGATAAAGATGCTCCTCGAGATGATTAGATTACATGTTGATTGGCAGTTTGCAATGTGGACTGGGATAGGTTAAAGGCAAAAGATTTACTGGCTTTGTTCAACTCATGTAAGCCTAAAGGAAGTGTTATATTTTCTGTAAAGATATATCCTTCAGAGTTTGGGAAGGAGAGGATGAAAGAAGAGAAACTTCAAGGACAAGTAGAGTTATTAAGCATTCCTGAAGATGCTCCTGGAAAGGACTGGTATGGAGTCATTACAGAATGTGAAACTAAGGGGCTGGCCAGATGTCTCAGCAGACTAAAGTGCCTGCTTAGGCAGAGCGCAGCTGCTGGGATTCAATCCCTGGAGTGTCACACCGGCCTCTCCCCAGTGGTGCATTGAGATGGTGATTGAGACTGAGTGTGGTGGCGCCTGCTTGTAATCCCAGCACTGGGGTAGCTGAAAACAGGAGAACCACTAGGAGTCTTATCTACGTAGTGAGACCCTATACTAAATACATTAAAAAATTTTTTAAAGCACATAGATACAAAAGGTGTATGATTATGTCTCCTAAAGTCTGCCAAAGCTTCATAGAGTGATTGTTGTTTGTCACTTGGTCAACCATCAAGGACCATCTGGCGCAGCCTGAGACAGCTATACTGTCCTGTTTACCTCCTGTGTGCTCAGTGGACTAGGAAGCTATTGATGAATCTATTTGTCATCTTCCCCTGATCAAACCAGGATAGGTGGTGTCTCTTACAAAGAATTTGTTTTGTTTTGTTTTTCCTGGTGGTACCAGGGATGAAACTCAGGACTTTGTGCTTGCCAGGCAAGCACTTATTCCACTGAGCTATCTCCCTGGCCCCACTTACAAATAATTTGCAGAGTACAAGTATTACCTTCCTCTGTGCTATGGCTTTCTTCAGACAGATATTGCTTGGCAACATAGGTTATAACAAATAAGTATAATATAGAAATTGATCAGAATTTGGTGGTACCACTCTGAAGGGTTTAGGGTTTGTGGATCACCAGTTTTCTGTTAAAAAAAAAATCACTATTGAAGACCAAGGGAATTGGCTGCTTCCCCACCTCTAACTCCATGGTCCTTAGCCTGACTGGATTTCTAGTCTGTCTCCTGTGGTTAGAGGCCAGTTAGCCCTCAGACTCCCCACTGCCAAATTCTGAGTAAGCTGTTCCAGGGAGCCAAGACTCAGAGTTCTCATATGCCCTGAACCCATGCACCCTGTTTGTGTATGGCTAGTTACATTTCTGAAACAAGGGAATACCGCTTGAGATCACCTCTGCAGGAGCCAGCTTGAGGAATATTCCCAGAAATGTCAAGCGTGCAGCTCACACAGGGGCAGTCAGTGAAGGACATTCAGGAAGGACACACTGGGAGCTTGCATGTTTTTTTGTTATGCACATATCCATAAAATGTTGATGAATCTGGCCATGGCAGTGAGTATCTTATAATCCCAGCATTCAGAGAGGCTGAAGCAGGAGGATCACAAATTCAAGCCTAGCCTGGGCATCTTAGTAAGACCCTGTCTTAAAATAAAAAAATAACAAGGACTGGAGTTTGAGTTCATTGCCAAGAAAAAAGAAAAACATTATTAGTGAGAATGACTGTTCATTGGAACACACTGAATAAGTTAAAAAAAAAAAGTAACTTTATAAACAGTTGCTCCACTCAAATGAAAAAATAAATAAAGTTGTACATGATCATGTAAGGGGCTTCCTTGGTAAGAACTGGAACATAATACAAATGCCCACATGGTATCCTTAAAATAGCAGTATTTTTGTACTGAATGAAAAATTATTCAAATTTCAAAGCTATTTGAATTTGTGGAGCCTTAAGAATGCCTTTGTGGTGGAGGATTTGTGTGGATTCTGGTTCCTTGTCCATTCCTGTATCATCACCATTTGTCATACAGCTTCGGCGTTTTTTAGTCTGTGAGAAGTGATAGGTCCATGGTGGGGAACCCATGGCACGTGT